GGGGGGGGGAATCTGGTTTGGTAGCCTCAGGATTTTGTCTATGCTCTTTGCAGATGATGCGGTCCTATTGGCGTCATCATGCCGTGATTGTCAGCTCTCACTGGTGAATTAGCTGGGATGAGAATCAGCACCTCCATGTCTCAGGCCATGGTCCTCAACTGGAAAAGGGTGGATTGCTCTCTACGGGTTGGGAGGGAAGTTCTACCTCAAGTGGAGGAGTTCAGCTATCTCAGGGTTTTGTTAACGAGTGAGGGAAGAATGTAGCCTGAGATTGACAAACGGATTAGTGCAGCATCTGCAGTATTGCAGACTCTGTGCCGGTCAATTGTGGTGAAGAAAGAGCTGGGCTGCAAGGCGAAGCTCTGTGTACCAGTTGGTCTACGTTCCTACCTTCACCTATGGTCAAACTAAGGGTAGTGACTGAAAGAATAAGATTGTGAATACAAGCAGTTGAAATGAGTTTCCTCTGCAGGGTAGCTGGACTCTCCCTTAGAGATAGGGTGAGAAGTTCAGTTATCCAGGAGAGACTTGGAGTAGAACCGTTTCTCCTCCATGTCGAGAGGAGCCAGTTGTGGTGGTTCAGGCATCTGGTAAGGATGCTTTCTGGGCACCTCCCTACGAAGGTTTTATGGACATGTCTGAATGGGAGGAGAGCCCGGTGAAGACCCAGGACACGCTGGAGAGACTGTCTCTTGGTTGGCCTGGGAATGATTGGAGTCCTCCCAGAAGAGCTGGAAGAGGTGGTTATAGAAAGAGATGTCTGGTCCTCCCCCTATGACCAGACTCCAGAACAAGTGGAAAAAAATGGATGGATATCAGATTTTTGACACAAGACTGTTTCTGCTGGAGGAATAGACTAAACTTAATTAGTTTATATTGATTATCTTCTAAATGCTGTTTCTAAAACATTTACCTGCATCTGCCCATTTGCTTTTTATTCTTTTGCAGATTGGCTTGTGAAAATATTCCATTGATAGGAACACATTCCACCAACAGAGATGGATATTAAATCAAAGCAGTTTAAAGAGTAACTATTCATGTCACTACCTTGTTCTTTTCCTCCTCGAGGAAAATCTGTGGGCGGTCTCAGCAAATGTACAAAACTTCACAGGAATCGGAGTTGTTGTTTCCCAAAGACGCTGATCTGAACGTCTCCAGTCGGTGCCATCGGTTCATCCTCTGGTGTAGGGCAGAGGACCTTAGCAGGCGGTTCAAGATGAGACCTTCTGAGATCAACTTGGAGCATTTTTAAGAGCTCCGTGTTGACGACAGCTCAGTGCAGTTTGACAGCTTTGCACCAACAGAGAGGGAGATGCGAGGGATTGAAAAGGGCATCGAAAGGTGAAATAAATCATCTTAGATTTCCTGCAGTCCTAGGAAGCTCATGGTACTTTTGATTCTCTTCAGCTACTTGGCAAAGAGAGCAGCTGATTCCCCAGTGAAGACAGACGCAAACCGATAATGGCTGAAACACTTAACCGTGCTTAATTCAGGGAAGCTATTCATTTGGCCATGCCTGTATCAATTCAGTTCAGTTCAATAATACTTCATTAATCCCAATGGAAAATTAAATGTTTTTGTAACTCATTATCCTTGTTTCAGTAAAAGATGTTATAGATGCTGATGCTGTAGGCAGAAAGGATATCTAGTAAAGGTCCATCCCACAGTGGATCCAAAAAAACTGGCCGCAGATGCTGTCTGATCTGTCCACCCATGCAGACCCAGCTAGCCTCTTGGTTCCCCAGGCTGCTGGACCGCACGAATGCTGGGCAGAACTCCTCCCAGAGCGATGGCCACTCCTTCCAGCAGCTTGCCGAGATCCTCGTCACCACGGACAGCCGGCTGCAGATGCCAGGGGACGATCCCAGTCCTTCTGCTGTCACGAGCTGCGTTTCTTGCCAGTTCCAGGATCTCCTTAAGAAATCTTAGGATCTCAGTGGTCAGGCACTCGAGCACTTCCGGCAGGTAGACGGGAATGCATCCACGGAGCCTCCTTTTCAACTCATTTGAGATTTGGTGCTGTAGTTGAGATATTATTTGAGGTTTTGAGATATTAATCAGCTGTTCCTGGTTGTAAAAAATATATAAATCTTGATCAGTATCTGAGATACGTATTGAGTGAATTCATTATTCAACAACAGCGATGGAAGATACTCTTCCCAGTTTGTTCCCAGTGGCAGGAAATGAGCTCTTCTCCAGCTCTGAATGCACTCGCGTGTCACCTTTTGACTCGATACTGATTCAGTAATTTTCATATGACTCCATTAAGGTCCTAAAATCACGACACAGTCAGATCCATTTTCCTATGGGCCGAGTCTATATACAGGAAGTAATGGAAGCTGAGAGTCATTCTGCTTTCTGCTCTCCTCCATTAGTCTGGAGCGTTCAAGCGAAACTTCAGCTCGCCGATGCTCGTCAATGACCAATTGGCTGTCGTCAAGGAAGTTCAGCCAAGCCAAGGTGAGCTCTGAGTGTGTGTGTGTGTGTGTGTGTGCGCCCTGGTTTGTTTACGTCCGTGCGCTTTTGCTCTGTGACGTAGCTCTGTCTAGTTATTTGGTTTATTTTTAGATTTTTGCATGCTTGTATTTGTACCATAACAAAACCAGAACTGCCTCCCTCCATGTCTGACAACCAAGAAGCACGAAGCGAGGAAAAAGCTAAAATAAAACTGATAAAGAGGAGGAACAAATTCAGCTCCTCTTGGAGCACGGTGGACGGTCTGCACCCAGAAAGTATGTGAATAAATATTTATAAGCTGTGATGTTTGTGTATTTTAATCTCTGTTTATAATTTGCACTGGAGAAGTTTAATGTCAGGCCCTGCTTTTGCATGTTTAAACGCTTCATAAACACTGAAATGCTGCCTAATTTATGATTAGCAGGAGCTCCAAGCTGCTCGCCTGAGAGGCAGTTGTATTTCTCTGAAAATCATCCTACTTAAGCTCAGAACACGAGTTTAACATTTGTCAAATAAAGCTGCTGAAAGCTCAATTCGATGCATGCTCACCTTTTTTTTTTTTTTTTTTTGCACGAAAAATCTGCATCCGAAGTCCAAAAAAAGTTGGGATGTTGTTTAAAATGTAACTAAAAACTGAATGCAATCATTTCAAATCTGCTGGCTTAAGCATAAGTTATTCTAAAACCTGTACACAGTAGTCCCTCGCTACTTCGCGGTTCGTTTATCGCGGACTTGCTCTATCATGGTTTTTCAAAATAAGAGTGGACATGACACACAACTGACTGATTGACGGATGAGCCGCACAATCGGCATGGATTTTTGTTATTTAAAATAAATTATTCAAAATTATTTAGCCCTTGCTGCACCTCTGTGCAGCCCATGCTGCAGGATAAACTTCCTGCTGCAGCTGATCAGCTGTTCTCCATGCAGAGCTGAGAAGTGGGCGTGGCCAAGAGCTCTTGCAGGTGGCAAAGAGCAGAGCAGGCAGGGAGCTGAGATCATGACATTCTGTGCTCTTTTAGATAATTTAGAGTTTAAAAGCATTGTTAGAATATTGCAATATTCACGTCTCACGGGTCTTCAGGGTACAGATCCCCGTGATAAACGAGGGACTACTGTATCTTTTTTTTGTATTGATGGTGCCTTTTCAGAAGTGTAAGCTGCCCATGCTAGAGGCACTAATGCACCCCCATACCATCAGAGATACAGTTTTTTTGTGTGTGTGTTCTTATAATGTGCTGAACGGGCCCTCACTTCTTTAGTACAAAGGACGTGGCATCCGTAGTTTCCAAAAAGAACTTATTTGGAACTTTGGTCCATGCAAAGAAGGAAGCATGGATGATAGAGCTTTAATGTGATGCTTACAGACAAATGTGTTCCTGAGCCCATGCAGGGGTGTCCAGAACAGAATCAAAGCCTGTTTTTCATGCAGTGGCCCCTGAGGGCCCGAACGTCACAACCATCCAATGTTGACTTCCAACATTGGAGCTCAGAGTTCTCCAGATTCTTGAACTCTTCACAATATTATGAACTGCAGATGAGATATTCAAAGTCTTCCCAATTTGTTGTTGAGGAACATTATTTTTTAATTTGCTTCCCTATTTTCAGACATATTTTTTTGTTGGTGAACCTCTGTCCATCTTTACTTCTAAAACACTCTTTTTATACCCAGTTCTCTTACTGACCTGTTGCCAGTTAACCCAGTTTGTTGCAACATGTTCCTCCAGCTACCTGCACCAACTACTTTCCCAGCTTTTATTGCCCCGTTCTAAGTTTTTGAGATGTGTTGATGCCATATAATTCAAAATTATCTTTAGTTTCCCCCAAAAATTGTTAAAGTTTCTGTTTTAATCATTTGATATGTTCATTATTTTCCTTTGAGACTAAAATTGAGTTTATAATATTTGTAAATCACTAAATTCTGTTCTTTTTTTTGCACCGGCCCAACTTTTTTAGAAATAGGGTTGTAACAGATTAGAACTTGTGTTTTCTTCCACCATCATCTCTGAACGAGGAGCCTGTTTTTCATGTGAAAATAATTAAAAAAAAAAACTTAAAGCATCATAAAGTCCACTTTGCTTGCTGAGGGTTAGCGTCTCGCTGTTACATCCTTGTTCTGCGTCAGGATGCAATGAACCTACAGCTCCATCATCACCTCCATCACTCTGCCGGGCCCTGCTGAGCCTGCAACCTGCCAAACATTACACTGCGTCCTCTTAATTAAAGTGTTGGGGAAACAGAGCTCGTCAGGGCTTGATAATAATTTTAAGGACAAGGGTTGTTGACAAAATTTACTCAAGGGGCAGAATTTTTGCAGACTGTGGGAGGCCATCTTTGATTGGCCATGTGTCTGATAACTATCATCAGTCTGTTTTGTTTGTTAATGTCATTTGTGCTGCAGTTTTATTCTTTCAAGGTTTTGAGCAAAGTTCATCTTTGTCTTTTATGGAAAGTAACGTGTTGAGACTTCGATGTTTGAAGGAAAGCTTCATCAGTGTATGGCTTTAAAAAACAAGATTGTTTAACTTTTATTTAAAGGGGTGCACAAATTTGCAGGATTATGTTCCAAATGCAAAACTTCCTCACAAAAAATCTTAACAATTTACCGCTGCTAATCCCTGCTCACCTAATTGATGCTAATCCTAACTTCAGGCTAATCACTTGAACTTGTTAACTTTGCCTGATGGCAATTTCAGCTGCACATTTTATTTTATTTTTTTTACACTGACTCACAAATTCAAGATGTCAATTCTGAATATGAGGTATAAAATAATCTGCATTAAACGATATTTAACCATTTTATACACGGCTTGGTTAACTCGGATTACATTAAATCAAGAAGGGGTGGTTTATCAGTAATTTATCAAACATTTGACACGGTTTTCGTGGGATTCTTGAGTGAGAAAATATTTAAAAGTTGATGGAAGCAACTTGCTTCGTGCAGTTTTTTCTCAAAATAAGCGTCCATCTTGTTTATCTTCTATATTTATGATTTGATTTGATCTTATGTCTGTTGTATTTTTTGTATTTGGCAGCCAATTGATTTTTGGCACAACACCGGCCCACGTTTCCAGGTGGTCAGCGATGACGCATAATAGATGTAATTTATACGGTGAAGCGATGTATTTATTTATTTATCCACTTTATTAGACCTATTTGGACTGAAGTGACTTATACGGCGGTGCGACGTGTACGGTGGAAAGTACGGTAAACATTTAATACTTTATGGACCGATGGAATGAGCTTGTGGACTCATTACTGCCCATGGGCCACCAGTTGATTTCACAATCTTTCTTTCATACGCTGTAAAACTTTAATTTATTTTCTTTACCGTTCATACACTGATATTACGCCTCTTTCATTAGGTGAAAGTGCAAGAGAACAGCTGATGTTCTAAACTGTCATGAATTTTTATTGTGGTGATATTTAATTAGTGAACATCTTGTACGCAGAATTTATTTTTCTGTTCAGACAAGGACAAGCTGGGGTCAAGGAGACGCTTGCAGAAGGCACAAAAATAAATGAATAAATCAGACTAAAAACAAATCTATGAAGGCAAAGCTGAATTCATTACAAAAACATTCTGAGCTCTGAAAACAT